TCAGAAAAACATAAAAAGAACCATAGATTTTGAGAATGCTATTAAAAAAAAGTGTGAAGCAATGCTGTAAATGGATAATTAAAACAAAAATGATATTATATATATATATATATATATATATATATATATATATATATATAGTGTCCATAAATTTCGGGAGTACTTTAAAAAATTTAAATTTAATTTGTATTTGCAATAGAAATAATTTGTGAAAAGGATTAGAAAGAAGTAAATCTATATTTTTTAAGGGTTTATTGAAATTTTATTTAAGTTTCCACATGTCCTCCATCATTAGCAATACAAAGGGTAATACAATTTTGCAGTTCACAGAAAACATTTGTCAACTAATTTACAGTAATGCCTGAAATTGCATTAGTTATTTTAAATATACTTAAAACTACGTACATTAAACTTTATAACATTTTTTACAGATTATTTCTATCCCAAATACAAATAAAGTTATAAATTTTTTAAAGTGCACACGAACTTTATGGACACCCTGTATATATATATATATATATATATATATACACACACACACACACACACACACACACACACACACACACACACACACACACACACAGTGTGCGATGGGTAAATTGTCGCTAACGTATATTTTTCATTTTGTGCATATGTGTTTGTTTTTGATTTTGTCAATTGCACAGTATAGTAGGGTCAGTTGTGCGCTGTCTGTGACGAAAAAAGCACCATGACGCAAATTACTCTGCCAGAAATTTGGAAATGGCAAGCTGTACTGCTGTGTATTCACACCAGAAGCTCCAATATGAACATTTCAGAGTGCAGAGTATTCGGAAAGTGTTGGATGAATCTAATAGGGATTACAAATGTATGACAGCTCAGAAAACTCACTCTGATTATTCTGGTAAGAAAAGAAATCCAAAATTTGTTGGTGAGTACCTTAGACTCAACATGGACGCCAACATCAAGTATCGTGAGGAGGTAGTGCTGCCCTGGGTCAAGAGAGTAGCTGCTGGAAAACCCTATATCTGGCAACAGGACTCTGCACCATGCCATACAAGCATGGCTGTCAGATAATTTCTGCGACCACCTCACTCCTTATATCTGATCACTTAACTCCCCAGACTGCAACCTGCTTGATTATTATGTATGGGGTACAGTTGAGTAACAAAACTCCTTGTAACACCAAAGATGAACTGAAGGCAAGGATTATGGCATCATGCACCAACTTAAAAAAGGAGATCATCCAGAAGAGTTGCAGGAGATTCTGCAGTCGTCTGGAGGCCATGGTTGAAGCCAATGGTGATTTTATTGAATAAATTCACTCTTTGGTATTTCAAGATATTTTGTAATTTTGGTAAATATGTTTGTTAAAATAAGATTTCAGAGTTGTTTTTGTTTTTATGTAATTTAGATGACAATTTATCCATCGCACCCTGAACATTCCCAAATTCTGAGCAAATAACAAACATCAATATTTTTACTTGAATTCTTTCTTTTTAACTAGAGAATGTTTTAACAATACATTTTGTGTATGTCTGCAATAACTCTGCCAAAACTCAAACTTACATCCTTTACCATAAGTGCATGCTCTGTTGTGTAGCAATGCCTATCTCATTTGTGACAGCCATGTATTCTTGTCATTAATCCTACTTCTTTGGTACTTATTTCTTTCTTCCAAATTCTTGCTATTTATTCTGAAAGCAAAGACACTAAAAATGGTGTCACAAGAACCAACAACAAAAGAAAATGTATTAGGCAGAAGCTAATAATATAGGTAACACCATAGAAAACCTGATACTTAAGGTTTTAAATGAATTTTTAAAAATGAAAAATCTTTCTTGAAGCTTTTATTTTAATTTTAATTTCAAGCTAATAGATTAAATTTAATATTACCAATAAGCAAAATACTTTGCTATATTTCAAAACTAATTTAAATTGATTAGGAGTTTTTTTTGCTAAAATAGCTGATAAGCACCCTTTTTTAGTTGTCTTTTATCACAATGTAACACTTTTGATTAAAAAATCTTCCAAAAATAAAATATACTTTTTTGAAGCTTTATTTGAGGAATTGTAAACGTTCTGAAAGCAAAGGAAATGTTTGTCGCAGATTAATTCCACAACGCAGAGAACAAATCACTGTAAGTTCAGACTTGAATATCGGGGGCAGAAAGAAATGCCGAAAACTCGATTCGCAGGTACTATCTCACAAATAGGAATATTAGCTGATTTAAAGTATAATTAATCTGATTTGAAATAACAATTATTTAATTGAAGCAGTAGCTGATTATTTAAGTTGTTCACATATTTGACATCTTGATGACAGATTTATATTTATCTAATGTTCTAGGGAGGCTTTAGTCATAAAAAATAATTGAATATAACATCAGCACATTTTTATATATGATATTTAAATACTCAGTAATTTTTAAAATTTAGGAAAATATTCACCATAATACAATGTTGTATTGAATTTTAGATAATTTCAGATTTTAAATTTACTATAGTTATTGGTCTTATCTGATAATGTTTGGTATGAGCTTTATGTACAAAAATTATACAAATACAAAAAAATTCAAAATTCTTTTTAAAACATTGGTGTTTGATGATTTGTACTAAGCTTTTCCATTTATGATTAGTAAATATAGTTTTTACTTAATAATGATATCATCTAAAAGGGTGAAATTAATACAAAATTTTAAAAGATTTAAAACTTAATAAATTATTCTAATTAAAAGTTAAAAAATGAAAACAATTTTTGTAAAAATTCATTGAAAGAAGTTTTTCTTAAAACAATAGTGTCCTTAACATATGTTATTTATAAAAGCAATTAAAAGCTTTTCTAATTAAATAATGTCATATTATTATCCATTTTTTAATTTACAATTCAAAGCAGATTTTTGGTAAAGATTGAATCAACTGCTCGGTCTGCTGCTAAGAAAATTGGTTCACTGAGTCATGCTAGGCAATTCTTGATAAAATCCAAAGAAGAATCTGCAATGTTATTGGTCTTGACCTGGCATCCTGACTTCAGGAACTTTCTCATTGACCTAATGTTGCTTCCCTCTGCCTTTTCTATAATTACTTTCATGGTAATTGTTTAGATGAGCTTTCCTCTATGTTACTTAGATTTTATGATTTTAAGGGCAGTACTAGATTGGCAATAAGGTCTCATCATCTTATTGTTGAATTGGCTAGATGTAACCGTAAGTTCTATGCTAGGAGTTTCTTCTTTTAAACTTCTTTGTTGTCTTGTTGCTTTCCAGCCAACTTTGATGTTCAAAAATTTAAATGCAATGTCAATCATAATCTGTCTTCTTGATTGTTCTTCATTTATTGTTCTTGCTCCTTAATAATTTTCTCTTTTTCTTACTTTCACACTCAGTAAGCTCTTGTGTCTTTGTGGCTTTATTGCCTTACTTGGAGTGAAAAAGACTTAAAGCACTAGAGCTACACTAAAATTGTGTCCAATCAGTAGAGGTAAGTGCCTTCGGATTAAGGATCAGTGACTTCCATGACTAAAATGTTATAGATATTAACAAGCAGCTCTTGGTATAGGGTGTGAGTTTGTATCTCAGCTGAAAGTGCTTCTAAAAGATTTCCAAAATGTAATTTGAAGATGCATACTGGCTTGAAACAAAATAAAAATGAAGCTAAAACAAAAAAGTGAGTACCTCATTAGAACACAAGAAATGTTCGATAATTTAAAACATTACTTCTTTTTATACAAGGAGTAATGAAAAAATACCTAAACTATGAAAAAGGAAAATTAAAAGAAAAAATTGATTTGTTTTTTACAGCTGATCAACCTTTCACAGGTTATTTAAAGCCAGATAATATTTTTAGCTTGTAATAAGTTTTTGGATATAATGATTTACTGATGCAAATTCTAATAATTAACCCATAGTTGAAGGGGGGGAAAAAAGTGGATTCATACTTTTCCCAAGGGTATTTTTACATAAGTGAAAATAACAAACCCAACTGGAATTGGAACTCGGCTCTCCAATTTCCAATTCTGAACCATTATCAATAACACCACTGGCACATCCAAGCTTAAAGTCCCAGGTATTCCCAAGTGGTCACGCATCTATCTACTGACCAGTCTTGATGTTGTTTAACCTTGGTGATCATGCAAAAACTGGTGTTTCAATGCAATGTGGCTATAGCCAGTTTTTGATCTGACTGATTTTTTTACGGTTTATCAACCCTTTGTGGGTTATTTAAAACTGAAAGATATTTTGAATTGTAACAATAATTCATTCTTTTTTGCAAGTGAATATAGCATTAACAATTTTTTTGAGAATAACAATGATTTTACAGATAGAGATCCTACTATTTAACCTATAGCTTGGGGGAGAAGAGATGGATTCATATCTTTCTCCAGGGTATTGGTACGTGAATGAATCTAACAAACCTGACTTGAATTCAAAGTTGGCTCCCTGATTTCTCATTCTGAGCCGTGATCCATTACACCCCACCCCATGCATTGTAATGAAAGAAGAGATAGTAAAATGGTGAAGGAAGAAGAAGAAGAAGAAAGAATGGAAGAAGAGAAAGAAGAAAAGAATGGGGATAAAAGAAAAAGAAAGAAGATGAAGGGAGGAAAAAGAAAAAGAATAAAAGAGAAAGAAACAAAGTAAAGGAAAAAGAAATAATTTAGATAAAATAGGTTTGGTTTGTTTTACGGCATGTCAATCTCAATGGGTTATTTAATGCTGACAAAATTTTTATTGCTGGTAATATTTTTTTCCAAAAATGTATTGCTGGTAATAATTTTTTACAAAAATGTATTGCTGGTATTAAAACCTATTTTTACATGTTTTGACCCAAGTTTGGAGGTTAACTATTTGTTCATAGCTGGGACCCTAACAGGTGCTACCAGCCTGCCCTGGGTCAAGGTAGACCTGGGAACACCAGCAATTAAGAGGTGGTTCTATGCTCCTCAAAACCACCTGACCAGAGGCCTTGCTGTCGGATGTAGTTTATTGTCTTTCCCAGGACATGGATGTAGTTTATCGTCATACCCAGGATGGAGGAAAAATAGATAAAAAATAAAGAAAGAGATGAAAAAAAAGGAGAAAAGAAGAAAGAAAGAACAGCAGAATAAAGAATAAAATTGAGAAATAAAGGAAGAAAAATTTAAGAACGAAGGAAGAGAGGTTGATGAAAAAAGTAAGACAAATGATAAAAGCAATGAATTGAAGGAAAATAGGTGAAAATGAAAGAAAAATAAAGGTGAACAGAATGAAGAAAAACAAATGAATAAACAAATGATATTTATAGAAGAGAAGAAATGAATAAAGAAAAGCAAAAAAAAAAACAGAGAGAGGAAAATAAAGAAAGAAAAAAAAGAAAGAAAAATGAAGAAACATGTTGAAGAGGAGGAGTATCGAAAAGAATAGAGGGGAATACAAGAAATGTAAAACATAAATAAAAAGAAAGAAAACAAATTGGAGTAGGAGGAAAAAATAAATAAATAAGAAACATGTAGAAGAGGAGTATAGAGAGAGAGTGGAAAGAAAAAAAGCAGAGAAGAAAAAGGCTATCAAATGAAGAAAGAATGAAATAAGAAGAAAAAAAACAAGAAAGAGAAAGAAGGAAGGATGGAGATATTTCAGATAAAAAGAAAGAAAAAAACAAGAAACTAATGAAGACGATAATAATGGCTGACGTAGATTATAAAATAAATACTTGAGAATTGACTGAAAAAAGATACATGTAAATATGGTAGAAAAACGTAATTTGTAAGTTTCTTGATATTTTTTAACAGTAATACTGATTATGGGTCTGTTGTGTCTTCCTCAGATAATTGGTTAGCTAATGGTAAAAGACAAGGTCATGTGACAGTGACATAGTAGTTTTCAATGTGGGAAAATAGAAGCAATACATCAAATTCATATTCCAGTTGGGACTTCAAAGGAAAATCTTCAATTTACAAGTTTACTTGTGACACGTTACATCCTTCAGGACATCATCAGAATAAATTTGTTATAACTAATTATAACAAATTTATTCTGATGAAGTAAACTTTTTCCACTTTGTCATACAATTTCCCTAATATTGTTCTTGATCTATAAAAAATATATATTGTTATTTCATATATATATATATATATATATATTTGTGCATTTAGGCAGCAAATTCTCTTTTAGGCATGTCTGATTAAATAAATTACAAACATTATGTCTGCTTATTTTTAGCGTAATCCTTTCATATTCATGGGAAAATAATGTTTGTAATTTACCTGGCTTATGTCAGAGGGTATCCCCCAGATGAGGCTCTGCTGAAGGGCAGAGTCTCGTCTTGGGAAACTGACACCATTTTTATGTGATCTCTAGGGAATTTTTGCCCGAGCATACACGCTTGGATACCCCACTTTAAACTCGGCCTTGTGCCACATCTTGCTGCATGGGGCAGCGGGTAAATAATTATATATATATATATATATATATATATATTAGAATTATTTTTTTTAAAAATATGATTCCTTCGCTACATAAGAGTTCTCATGTTTCAAAAACAAGAATCGAAACCATCAATATAATTATTAAAATTAAATTGAATTAAAGTAACAAGCCCTGTTTCATCCTCAAGCGAAAATTTATTTTCACTTGAAGATGAAATAGGGCATGAAAGAAGAGAGAGAGAGAGAGAGAGAGAGAGAGAGAGAAAGACCAATGTGAAAAGGAAGTAGAGAGAGACAAAAGACAAAAGTGAAAAAGAATAAAGAAAGAAAGACAGAATGAAAGAAAGTCAATAAAGAGGATGAAAGAGAAGACAAAATGAAAAGTGATAGAGAGAGAGAGAAAGCTAAAATGAAATGAAATAAAAAGAGTGAAGGCAAAAATGGTAGGAATAAAGAGCGTGGAAGAGAGAAAGCTAAAATGAAAAGAATAAAGAGAATGAGAGGGAGTATAATGCAAAAGGAAAAGAGAGAGAGAAAGAAGGTAAAAATGAAACGGAATAGAGTGTAAGAGAGACAGCTAAAATGAAAAGAAATAAAAAGAGAGAAGACAACAATGAAAAGAATAAAGAGAGTGAAAGCGAGTATAATAGAAAAAGGAGAGGGAGAGAAGGTGAAAATGAAAAGGAAAAGAGAGTGCAAGAGAGAAAGCTAAAATAAAAAGAAATAAAAAGAGAGAAGACAAAAATGGTAAGAATAAAGAGAGTGAGAGAGAATAATCCAAAAGGAAAAGAGAGAGAAAGAAGGCAAAAATTAAAAGGAATAAAGAGTATGAGAGAGCAAGCTAAAATGAAAAGAAATATAAAGAGAGATGGCAAAAGTCAGAGAAAGAAAGCCAAAATGTAAAAGAAACAGAGTGAGAGAAAGACAGAGAGAAGGAAAAAAAAATACTTATTTTCATTGTTTTAGAATAAATCTGAATAAAATTAGTTTAATGGTGTATCAATATATGATCATTTTGATTTGAGAAAAAAACATTCTTATTGCTTCTTCCAGAAAAGCTTATTGCTTGATTAAGTACAAAGCGTGGAATTATCTTTATTGACTGTATTTTGATATCACTCAGTTAAAGAGATAAAAAAAAAAAAAAAAATCTGGCAAAAACATTAATACAAGAAGAGCAAGACTGACAATAAACAAAAAAGCAAGGTCAGTGGCTCCAATAGTAAAAATATAAATTCTTCTATGAGTGATGATGTTATAAATAAGTGTGGTTTAATTATTCAAGGTTTTTTTTTTACATTCAATAATGCTTTGGTTTTTTGGACTTTCTTTAAAAATGTTTCCGACACACGTGTTCCGGTCGAAAAATAAAATAATATTTAAAGTGCTCTATTTTTCGTCCAATAAAAATGCTTCCCTCCTAATTATACTCGCTTCGTTTTTCGAGCCTGTTAAGCCATAAAAAAAAAGCGCTATAAAAGGGGTCACAAATAATAAGTTCAACAGGCAGTCAACAGGTGTAAAAAGGAGACCGGTCACGTTTAGCAGCTGTCAGCAGGAGAGCGTCAACCACCGTCAACATGTGTGAACTACTATGAGAGATCGACCTAGATCCGAAAGCCGGCTTATGAACTTTACCACACCAAGGTAGCTGTCCCAAACCCTCACGTTCCTGTTGAAATAAACCACGTAAATCTATTTCTACTGTTGTATTTCTTTCTTGCAACCATACGCTTGTCTATAACACTGGTGTCAGAAGCGTACAGCAAGAGAAATATGGCCGACTACACGAGCTTCACCCGAGCCGAACTATTTACTCTCATCAAGGAACAGAAAACACTACTATTCAACTTGAAAACGGGACCAACACAGCCTTCCGAAGCCACGATACAGGAAATTCAAGCCGACATAAACGACATGCTGACTGCCCTAAAATCAACTACTTCAACACCTCCCACCGCTCAAACAAACGGCGATTACAGCTTAATGATGCGCCAACAAACTATACGCGACATATTGAAGCTAGAGAAAACTTTTCACCCTGGACACGACGTGAACCGATTCATCACGGCCCTAAACAAAGCATACACAATCCACGTCACGCCAGAACTCAGCACCTATCCCAGCCTGGAATGCGAATTCGTCAAGTCTGCTAAAGATTTACTGGACCAAAGTATTTTTCAGCAAATGGTTGACTCAAAAAAGGACATATCCACCTTCGAACAACTGAAGGAATACTTATTAGGAGCCCACGGAAGCCAGATGACTAACTTCCAACACCTCAGTCAAGCCTGGGACCTGGAACGGCGAGACGGCGAAAAATTAACAGACTTCGCGGGTCGACTCGAAAACACCCTTAGAGAGGCAGCCGTCCACATAAAAAAAAAACAATACAAAAAGACAAAAATACAGACTTAACAGTCGATGGACTTATTTCCATCATCGGCGCTATGCTAATGAGCGAAAAGGTGAAAATTTGGAACTCAAATCTCTACCCACTATTCAGCCATTGGCATAGCCTCCGAAGCTCAAATATACCTTGATCGCGGTGTAAAATCCAACGACACAACTTCGCACGACACTGTGTATTTCACACAGAAACCACAGCAGTCAAACCAAAGAAACGCGCCACTCCGACCCAGCAGGCAACCAAACCCACAGCAGACGGGCCTCACCAACCCTCCCGAACATGGCCACCATCCGACACGCAGAAACCATCAGCACACACCACGAATCAGCGTGTGCAAGAACTACCTCAGAGGTCGCCCCTGCCACCATGGACGCAGATGTATATATCGCCACCCACCTCGCACTCGGGCACAGGCCCATATCGCCGCAACGAATGACAATATACAAGCCATAAATGATGTGGAACAGGATTTTCGCTTCGGGCAGGACGAGATGTGATGCCTCGTTCGCCATGCCCCTACGTCAGCCATCACACCTTCAACTTTCAAGGACTCGCTCACCATTCACCGCTCGTCCAGTCCACCTTCAACTTCAGGGACATCACCTTCTCTGGCGTAGCAATGCTAGACTCTGGATGCTCCACCTGCATCGTACCAATATCTCGGTTACCCAGAGAAGCCAAGAAACTCATGACCCGCTCCGACGTCGTAGTAAAAGGAATCAACGGCAGCACCACCGCCCTCGGCGAACTGACTTGCGACATCACCATCGGCAGTCGAGACTCACCCACATTCAAAAAGGTTAACGTGCTGGTAACTACCCAAACCACACCAATCCTGATCGGCCAAAATATCCTACGTCACAACACGCTCGATTCCTATCTAATCGACAACCAAAATGCGACTATAGAATTCAGACGCACACTTTCCTCAGGATATACAACACACACAGCCGCAATCATATCACCGTCATCGTCAACCAACGATCCAGCATATGGCGCCCAAGCTGACATCATCCAAAACCAGCCTACTATGGAACTACAGCCCAACATCCAGACACTGGATCAAAAGCTAACCTGGCTAAAACATAACACGGGACTATCGCTACCAAACCACCCGAACCGAGACGAACTAGAGGCCACTGCAAACTTACTCATTCGCTACGCTGACATTATCGGCACCGAAAGCAGCAGCAAAGGCACATTCATCCGACCCATCCGCATACCAACCAACGGCCAGTCTCGCAGCCAGAAACAACACCCGATAGCCCAGGCTTTGGAAGCAGACGTAGATACCGAAATTAAGCGTATGGCTGATGAAGGTATCATTGAAAACTGCAGCGACCCCAAAGGCTTCAATAGCCCTGTATTTGCCGTACGCAAGAAAAACGGATCGATTCGTGTCGTTGCTAACTTTAAAAGAACTCTCAACAAGGTCTTAGTCGATCTTGACCCTTACCCAATGCCAAGGATCGACCACTTGTTCAACAAAATCGGCAAAGGCAATAGATATTTTACTACCCTTGATCTACGCAGCGGCTACTGGCAAATTGAGATCGACAAGCGAGACCGATACAAAACAGCATTTACATGGAAGGACCAATGCTATCAATACACGCGCCTGGCCTTCGGCCTTACATCTGCCGGACAAATCTTCTCCCGTTGCATAGCAGAAGCCCTAGCCACGATCACATCCCGTGACAACATTTCTTCCTATATCGACGACAACCTGGTCCACGCTAGGACATTTAGGGAGTACATACTCTCCCTCGAACAATTTTTTTACTGCCCTCCGAAAATTCGGACTCAAGCTGAATCCCGATAAATGTTCCTTCCTCGCATCAGAGGCAAAATTCCTCGGACGCATAGTAAACAGCGAAGGATTCAAGGCTGATCCAGAATACGTTCGTGCCATCCAGGAAATGAAACCTCCAACATCAAAAAAAAGAATTACAAAGCCTTATCGGCCGTTTAGTGTGGATCAGACAATTCCTAGAGACACGTCTTCACGAACAAATCAGGTCAGATATGTTTTCAAAACTTATGGGTCCCATACACGAACTCAACAAGGTTAATAAACCGTTTGTCTGGACGCAAAATGCCGACAAAGCCTTCAAAAAAATCAAGGACCGTCTCTCTTCACCACCCGTCATCTCGTTTCCAGATTTCTCCAAACTTTTCACACTCACCACCGACGCCAGTGATGTCGCATGTGGAGCAATCTTAATGCAAGAAGCCGACAACCGGAAGAAAGATATCATAGCGGTCGCTTCCCATACATTCAACTCCACGGAACAGAACTGGTCCACGACGGAAAGAGAGGCATATGCAATAAAGTGGGCAATATTGAAATTTGATTATTTCCTTCGCAACCGCCCCTTCGTCATCTTCACCGACCACAGATCGCTGACATATCTGGACCAACGAGAGTTCAATAATGCCAAAATACGACGATGGCAAGAAGAAATTTCATGTTATAAATTCGTCTTGGAATATGTTGAAGGCGAATCAAATGTATGGGCTGACATGCTCAGCAGAGGCTGCGGACATAAGAAAACGAAAGCCCCGAACGGCCCTACACCGGCAGGCAGGACATTCGAGGTAAGCGGTTCAGACTTCCGCGTATACACCCCATCTTGGTGCCTCGGCGAGTTTAACGGTTTACAGCTCATTCCCAAAACTCACACACCACAAAACGCTCGCACCCACAAGCGCGTCACCAACGCATTCTTCGCCTATCAGTGAGAGAAACTGCAACCACCTCGGCATCGCAGATGAAAAACAGAAGGATGACGCCCTGGCAAAGATCATCAGCGCCCTCCAGTCACCCACCCCAAGCGAACCTCATATCGATCCTGACGACCACCGAGCTACGCTTTTCAAAAAACATTTCCACCAATTTTTTCTAGAACCAGGCACCTCCGTTTTGATGATAAGAGACAGTAAACACTCTCCGAGATTGGTTGTACCATACAAACTACGACCCAGATACCTCTACCAGGCATACGAGGGCAACAACCACTCAGGTGTTACCCGTATGCGAGAACTCCTTTCCAGCTACTGGTGGAATTCAAAAACCGCGACATCAAGGCCTATGTCGATTCTTGCGACACGTGTGCTAAGTGCAAGGGCAACTACGGTAGACGTACCCACTGGCCCATTGGCCACTGCAAACGAGGAAAGAGACCATTCGATCTCGTCTTTATAGACTTTGTCACAATGCCCAACTCAAAGGGAAAACGCTACATCCTAACCATCTTGGATAGCTTCAGCCGACATTTTACAGCCATACCATGCGCGAGAGACCGTGCTATCGACGCCGCCCGCGGATTGTACCATTTCTTCCTTCGACACAGAGAGATTCCACGCATAGTATCCTCTGATCGAGGCACACACTTCACTGGAGAAGTCTATCGACAATTCTGTAACCAGAT